CTTTACTAGAAAGATTGACAGACTGAAGAACAGCAAAAAAAGACAAGGGCATTTGTGGGACTGAAACACAAGGAATGATTAAAGTAGCTAAATATTTGGGTCAAAATCCCGGACAGTCCAATGATTTAATGCAATTATGGGCCCACTGTTAGATTCCATCTACGCAACAAATGTTAACCATGTTGTAGCCAGGTCGGGACCAAGTGTCATAACTATGTCGGCTGACTTGGTCATAGTTGTAGCAAGGAATAAGAATACTTAGACAACATTAAGAAAAGGAAAAATTAGATTTAATACCGGGAAAAAACTTTCCAACACTGAAATCTTTCAGGCTTTTAAAAAGTCTACTAAAAGCAGGACAAGAACCCCATTACTTGCAAGTCAGGAAGGCATTTAAAATGTTAAATATAAGGGACTGTGCTAGAAGCAACAATCCTGCACAGTCAGGGAGACATGTGACTAGAGAGATGCTAGAGCAGGGGTGGGCAAACTACGGCCCGCGGGCCGGATCTGGCCTGCAAGCCGTTTTAAGCCAGCCCGTAAGCCACACCACGCGGCTTGGCCCTGCTCCGGCACTCCGGCCAGGGAGCTGAGTCAGTGGCTGGATCAGTGGCTCGGCCCCGCTCCAGCCGGGGCACAGGGTTGGGGCCGCACCACGCAGCTCCCGGAAGCCGCGGCATGGCCCTGCTCCAGCTCCTATGTGCTCCAATGGGAGCTGCAGGAGCAGTGCCTGCGGACGGGGCAGTGTGCAGAGCCGCCTGGCCGTGCCGCTGTGTAGGAGCCAGAGAAGGGACATGCCACTGCTTCCGAGAGCTGCTTGAGGTAAGCGCCGCTTGGAGCCTGCATCCCCTGAGCCTCTCCCCATGCCCCAACCCCCTGCCCCAGTCCTGATCCCCCTCCCGCTCTCCAAACCCCTCAATCCCAGCCTGGAGCACCCTCCTGCACCCCAAACTCCTCATCCCCAGCTCTACCCCAGAGCCCGCACCCCCAACCAGAGCCCTCACCCCCTTCCGCACCCCAACCCTAATTTTGTGAGCATTCATGGCCCGTCATACAATTTTTAGTCCCCAATGTGGCCCTCGAGCCAAAAAGTTTGCCCACCCCTGTGTTAGAAGACTATAAGAGAGCTTCGGTGGCCTTTTCTTCCTCTTATGCCATGACTTTTTCCCTCCCAAATTTGAGTGCATTATCCTGTCCTATCATGTGAGTCATTTGATAACCCAGAGGGAAGGGCTGAATTGCTTCCACAGCAAGAATTTTTTTGTGTGATGCCAGTGCCATGACCTTTACTCATGGAAAACAAAGTACCAATGGCAAAAGCAGGATGGAGCTCCATCAAAAAATTAATGTAAACAACTACAAAGCCATGACTGTTCTACTCAAAAGCCAATTCACACCAGGTAGGAATCTGAGCAGTGGATGTTGCTAACATAGCAAATATGCTATCTTACATTTTGTTAGGCTAATTGCATTCCTCTAAAAGCATGATCTAATAAAAATTGCCAAATTGAATTTCAAGTAAGGGGAAAAAAAAGAAATAGAAAAAGAAAGGAAAAGAAAAAGCAATAACAGCTTATAAAAAGGGCTTTGTAGAAACATTCCCATTACAGGTGCATTCTCATGTTTAAAAAGAGGCTAGAGATTTTTTTGGTTTACATGAAAATAAAAAACAGTTGCTCTACGAGAAAAGCTTCCACTTTGTTGTGGAAACAAACTCTCTCACTACGCCTTCACATCTCATCCTGGGGCAAGTTTGGAAATCACGCTTTTGCTCTTTGCAAAATTCTGTAATGTTAGTAGCAAACAGCTCTGATGCTGGTGCAAACGGCAGAAATCTGATCTGGATTCAAATCTGTGCACTGTGCACTACTGGGGGAACACAGGTAGTTTTGCATCCCTTAAGTGGTGTGAAATTCATTAAATAAAGACTGAGGATGAAATCCTGGTCCCACTTACATCAGTGGGAGTGTTGCCATGGACTTCAATGGGGCTTGGATCTCACTCCAAATTTAAACCTGAGACACTGCCCAGGGGGAGGGTCCCAGAGCCCATGCTGTAGCCCAAGCCAAACGTCTACCACGAGCCCAAGTCAGCTGACCTTCACCAGCCGCGGCTGTGCCACGGATTTTTTATCATAGCGTAGACATACCCTAGCAGCTACTGGATGAAGAACCTCCAAGGGATCACCATTATCACCACCCTATTCTATTTAGGTCTATTTAGTAATTTATACTATGCTCATCACCATAGTACCTGAGGGTCTGCTGCACCAGATTATGCATGGTCAGTGCTGGGACCCATGGTTTGTGGAGTGTAGAGTCCTGCAGAGCCCGTCTGCATACTTCCCCCAACAGAGCCACTGCAGGACTTCAGTGGTGTAGAGAGGGATTTACATGGGCCATTTACCAAGGTGAATATTACCCTTAATCCTGCAGTTCTTTCACATGCAAAACTCCCCCCCCCCCCGCTTTAACTGCTGTTCATTGTGTGAAATAATGACACCAGAATTAGGCCCATCAAGATTACATTATTTTGTTTAGCAAATGCCTACAGAAACTCTCGGCCTTTTCAGTCTTGTCTATTAATAGTACACTTAGACCTAGCTTGGAAAATGCGATTCATATGATAAAAGAGGAATTTAAGAATATATCAAATACTGGGAAGGAACTGACATTCCGAGTATTGTTATGAACACAGAAGTGGCGCTAGAGTTATGTTCCATTTTATTTGATTTGATTTAGTTAAAAAAAACCTAAAACAAAAACAATACATGTATTGCTGATCTTGCAGCGCCACTGAAGTAAAATGGGACTTTCATGTCAGCACCACAGGATTCAACTCAGGGTTATTGTGTGGTAGTTACTAAAACTAGTGGGAAATTGCTTAAAATCGATATTAAAAAAATCTAGCATGAAGTGAGTTGATTTAGTAAATACTTTAACAACTAGAGTTTTCTGGGAAAGCCATGTAATTATTTTTACCTACGCCACATAAAATAAATGATACGAGTGACGATTTGATTGTTAGCGTATAGCAAGCGTTCAGGAATGTATTGAGGGAACAACTCTTTTTTTGGCAGGGGAATGGTCAAAGGGAACAAATATTTTCTGTCTTTAATTGCTTTGATTCTGTGAAAAACGAGCAATACCACAACGCTGAGCACGTAGAACACAGTTGCGAAAGACGACAGCGAGCCGCTCATCATTTCGATGATTAACAACAACTGCACACGTGGTTATTTTAATGTAAGGAAAAGGGATTTTGTTTCTTTCTCTTTTTGTAGAACAGTGGGTCTATTCTCCCTTGAATACACACACATATTTATCATTAATCTTTAATCATGAAAGGGAAACAATCAGCTTTAAAAATTACGTTCTTTTCTGAATTTCCTAAAAGATCTGCTCTAGGACTTATTTTGAGGAAGCGCTACTACAGCCCGTGTTAGCCAGTTCAGACTCAATGATCACAGTTGTCCCTTCTGGCTTTGGAATCTAGGAATGTACAAAATTCAATGTAAAAAAGTCTAGTGAAGAGAAGCCCCTAATGGCCAGGCAGTTTCAAATACAACTGACTGCTGTGCTTTCCAACAGTAGAAACTGTACTGTATTTATTTTGTACATTGTGCGTGCTTGAGTGCTAGATGTTTGGCATTATCTCGGGAAGGCCCAAGCCACAAAGCCTGGGTCTGGTCTCCTGAGTTCTAGTCTTGTGTCCTATCTGCTTGTCCACACGCCCTCTTCCTTGATGGTTGTTAGGTTTGTAACCGTCTTTGAAATCCCACAAAACTAGGAAGTGTTCAGTGTGAGATTTTAGTTTGGAGACTACATAGATAGATCTCAGAGGTCTGTAAACATCCCTAAAACCTGAGTCTCAACCAAACTGAATGCAGCCAGAATTTCAGTGGCAATCATCAACCTGGGAGTAAGTCAGGGCGGTGCGTGTTGAGGGTGTAGGGGAAGGGTAGATCTTGATTGTGTTCCAATTACTGTTGCCCTGGTTCCAGTACAGCCTGAGACTTGGTAACAGAGAAGGGAACTCTTTGTAGAGGGGGAAAAAAAAAAAAAGGCTCCCCAGCCAAACCCCTACAGCCTGTGAGCGTGAGTGAGTGTGGGAAGGTGGTGTGGACCCACAGCAACTGAGAACTGCAGACAGAGACAAAGAGCGAGTTGTTATATATTTCACAAGCGACATCGAACCACCGAAAAGCCATGCAGGGAATGAAGGGGAAACAAACCTCGAGCGGCTAGAGCACAGCAGATCTGGATTAAATCTCAGGAAAAACTCCCTAACTGTAAGAACAGTAGGACAATGGAACAGACTGCCTATGTGGGGGGTGGTGGAAGCTCCTTCACTGGAGGTTTTCAAAAGGAGGCTGGATAGCCATCTGCCTTGGATGGTTTAGACACAACAAATCCTGCCTATCTTGGCAGGGGGTTAGACTAGCTGACCCTTGCAGTCCCTTCCAACCCCATGGTTCTAGGCTAAAGGGGGGGGGCTTGGATTAGAGATGCAGTGTGACTCCACTTGTCCCTGCAACTAAACGCCTCCAACGCGTATCCGGGGCACATGGCGCCGCTGTTTGTGCCGCGCTGCTCTCAGTTACACCCCTGTCAATCCGGAGTGACTCCAGCGGGGGCGGCGGTGATGCGCGGAAGTGGGGGGGGGGGCGGCCTGCCGGGGGGGAAAGGGGGGGGGGCCGGGCTGCCCCAGCAGCGGGGAAAGCTTCCACTTTCCCTTTCGCCGAGCTCGGCTGCTGGCCTCGTGTCCGCACTCAGCCTCCCTGCTCCCTTGCAGCAGCTGCTGCTCCCCCTCCTCCCTGCCCCCGGCCCCGCCGGCCGCTGCCCCTCCCCGGAGCCGAGCCGGCTGCCTGCCAGCCCCGGCTCCCGGGCTGAAGCGTGGCCCCTCCTTCCCCCCACCCCTTCCTCTCGCACCCCCGCCCCTCCACCAAAGAAGAGGCTGAGCCGGTGTTTTTCCACTCAGCAGGATGGGGGATGCTCAACGCTCCCTCATTAGACAACAGAGACGCGAGGTCAGGAAGAAAGCGCTTATAAATCACCCCCGCCTCGCTCGCCGCCCGGCTAGTCGGGCGGTACCTTTCCCCAGGACACACCGGGCAGACGCCTAGAGCCCTGGCCAGCCACCTGAGCCCGCAGCAGGTAAGATCCCCGCTCTAGTGTCTGCCAGACAGGGAGACCGCCTCGAGCGCTGGTCGCTCGGGGGAAGACGGGGAAGGAACAAAGAAGGAGCTGTGGGGAGGCAGCGAGCTTTTTGCCTTTGCCGAAGAAGATCTGCCAGGCAGGAGAGGGAACGGGGGAGGACTAATTGCTGCTTTTCTCTTGTTACTACGTGAAGATGGCAAAGAAAGGACCCACCGGAGGCACAAGAGAGGGGCGGGGGGCATTGCCTTGGTTGAGCCATGCTGCAAATGTCTCCTCTATGCTCAGGGTCTGTTTCCCTCCTGCCCCCCCCCCCCCAAGCCCCATATTTTTGCTGGGTTTTGCCGTATCCTGTGCTAGATAGATTGCAACGTGCTGTCGCTTTGCATTTTGATCGCGCAGGCCAATAGTGCCGTTTCTTTCTTTTCAAGTCCCTTAAAAAAACCAACACATCTACCTATATTTAATTGCGATCTAGGCTACCGTGTGGTTTCTCGAGCGGCTATTTCCATCTTGCCCTCCGTACATGCTCCACCACCTTGTGTTAACTTTTTTTCAGATAACAGTTTGCAGTGTGAAATTAACCACTTGCTTGGCAGCTCTCCAACTGTTAAAAGTACATTTCTTCTCCCCCCCCCCTGCTGTTTCCCCCAGTGAAAAATGCAACATATTTTTGAAGGCTGTATGCAAACCAACAGTCAGGTCCAGTTGAAAGACCAATACAGCAGCTGTTGCTGCTACTAATGGATCTGACTGGGGTCTGACATTCTTTTCTTCAGAGGCAGTTAAAGTTTCCATAAGTGTCAGAAGTTAGTGGGTCAAGATTCTGATTTCAGTTATCTTGGTGTCAAAAAAATAAATCTGGATTCACATCAGTGTGAATTGGATCAGAATTTGGCCCAGTGCGTTTAAGGTGATGAATATTCAGTGGTGCATGATAATGTAACAAAAGACAGACTTTGGAGACGGCTCTAAGTTTCCATATATGAAGATAAGGGGTGTGTGTGGGGGGGAGTTAATTTGCATTCACACAGAAGATAAAACATGCATAAAAAGATGGAGAATTCAGAATATATTAACCTAGTTATACTTCCTCATTTGTGAGAGGTGAACAAATATATTTTTCTTTGAGAATTACTTTTTTCCTTCAAAGTGACAAAATTCTTACACTTGTATAAGTTCTGAAATCTTGTTTCTTCTCTTTATTATTATTTTTTAAATGACAAATGAAAACAGAGTGGGAAAACAGAAGTTCAGAAACAAGTTTGAAGAAACATGACAACACATTTGAAAGATTTTTATATTTCAGGACAGTTCATGCCAAGGTGTAGAGAGGCTTTTTTTTGGTTAGTTCCCATTTTTTAACCGTATTGGGAAAGGCATTAAGAAAATGCGTCAAGAAGAACTGGTTGTGTTTATAGTGCTATTTTGGTAACCACTGTATCTTTTTGCTTATACGTCAAAATGTTTTCAGTGTCGGACCAACAAAAGGTGGAGCTGTATTGTTCAGGAGACATGGAGTTAGTTGTAATTTGGTACTTGGATGACAGTTGCTACCAGTTTAGATTCTATGGCTTTAGCAATGTAAGGAAATCAAGCCAGTAAAACTTGGTGTCGTGGAATGTTGAGGAGAGAGACTTTGGGCAAAACTTTTACAGTTTTGGCATATGGATTTGTTACTTCTCGATTTGAATTCAAGCAGAATTGACCAACTCTTTTTGGCCCTGTTTATCTCCAAAGAAGTATTATGGAAAAATTTTCCCAGGGGGATGTTGGTGGAAGATCATCCGAAGAAGTGGATTGTAGCCCACGAAAGCTTATGCTCTAATAAATTTGTTAGTCTCTAAGGTGTCACAAGTACTCCTGTTCTTTTTGCGGATACAGACTAACACGGCTGCTACTCTGAAACCTTTTACAGAAGTGTACAGTATGGTCATGGCGAGAGAGGGAGATTTTAGTTTTTACAAGGGATAGCTACCGTACTAATAATGCCATTTGCCTCCAATATCAGGGCACAAGTTGAGGGTGAATTGTATGTGTCTGGAGGGAGGATACCTTTAGTAAACAAAGGTGAGTAAATGTTAGCTAGTACCTGTGAAACATTCAGAGATAGCCCCTCTCTCACTTCGGTCTTTATCTACCTTTTTGTTCACCCCCCCACTTGTCTCTCCATCTCACCTTTTCCATCTTCACTACTCTCTTCATCTCTCTCATTCTCTTCCACCTTCTCTCCCTTATGGTTCATATTCTCTTTAGGCTGCAGCCAGTAGGGGGTGACATAGTTTCTCTGTCTCTTCGCAGGCAGATGGAACTATGACACTCCAGCCATTAGAGGGCAGGATATGGAGGACAGGCAGACTTAATGTGATATATCAGTGATACTCAGACTGAAGCTCCTGAGTTCAAAGTGGCGCTTTAATGTGTTTCCTGTGGCTCTTTACAGCACATGATATTAAAACACTGTGTAATTTAATTATTAACCAAACTAAGTTATTAACCAGTCAGGATGTTTTTACTGTGTTATTAACCGGTTGTAGTTGATAAAATAATAATACTTGGCCAGTCATTTTGCTGTGAGAATTATATACACCTCTACCCCGATATAATGCGACCCGATATAACACGAATTCAGATATAACGCGGTAAAGCAGTGCTCCGGGGGGGGCTGCGCGCTCCGGCGGATCAAAGCAAGTTCGATATAACGCGGTTTCACCTATAACGCGGTAAGATTTTTTGGCTCCTGAGGACAGCGTTATATCGGGGTACAGGTGTATATATAATTATCACAGCAAAATGACTGGCCTATAAATTCATATTTAAACAGTAGGACAGGGGAAATATTTAGTGTATATATATATCTCCCCTGTCCTACTGTTTAAATATGAATATTTAGCACTATAGTAAATTAAACAATGAATTCACATTACTGTGGCTCTTTTGAGTAATGTTGATCGCTAATTTGGGTAGTGAACCACTGAGGTCTGAGTATCTCTGTACTATAATATAGATGGGGAGAGAATGGAAAGGCAAGGGAATTCCTATTTAATTTTTAAATTTCTGTTGTTTTCCATTTACCAACCTGCATTTTCCAGTGTGTAGTGTCAGACAACTGGCTTCAAAATCCTCTAGCTACCTGCTGCTTAACGTGTGCAGTGCTATGGCACTATATAAAGAGCAGTAAACCCCAGCAATCTGGAGGCATTAAGGAGATGGACAGATGGGTGGAAGTGCTTGTCTAAAGATGCCCTTCTTTGGTTTTAGGGATATCAGGCCAGATTCTGGTGTAAACCTGGAATAATTCTCCAGATGTTAATGTACACTAATGTAATGGAGGACAGAATTTGGCCCTTCAATTTAGTTGGCAGCCATTAGTTTATGCATTTTTATTTTTTTGATGGTTTGAGATTATTTTTTTAAATGGCACAATGCGTGAGCTGAGGTAAAAACGGGTCTCCAGGATGTTTGAAATCATGTATGAACAAGAGGTGCAGCACTGCTGTGGAAAAATACAAAGAAACCTTAGACTAGTTTACTATTTGTGCATGATGTTTGAGAAGTCCTGCCTGCCAGAACTTGATTGCTTCAGTAGGGTTCTTCATAGTGACTTGTTTTACAGCTAAAACTGGGGAGAATTTCAAGGATTAATTTCCTAATTTGTAATCTGAATACCAAGCAGCCTAGTGATTTGCACTTAAAGCCTCCTTTCCACTTGGGGATGCATTTCCAAAGAGGCTTGTAACTGAGCAAGTCCTATGGATTATAGCGCGGTTAGAAAACCCCATATAGTGCTTTGCAGCGACACTCCCTCATAGCCTAATTGTTTTGTGCTGTGTGTGCTTTCCGTAGCAAGGAGGTGTTCCATTCTGTGTCTTTCTAACTTTGGCTGTTCCCACTTGGGTCTGCACTGAAAGTGTAATCTGCATTTTGCACCCAAATGCACCAGCAGAGCCAACTGAGGGTATAAATTGTGGGGCAGAGAAGTGTAAACCCTAAAGGAAAGCTAAGCCATCATTGCATAGAGAACTGAATTTAGGGTAAACAAAAGTCTTTTCACTTTACTGAAGCATCCTGAATTTTCAGTTTAGTACAATGGCAGAACTGTTTAAACCCCAAACAGTCACATTTTATTTCATTAAGCTTTCCCTCCTCAGAGCATAACAATATAATCTTTCAGTCTTCCAAATCTTTATTTTCCTATAGATTATTTGCTCTACAGTGTCATTACATGTACCATACTGGAAGCACTTTGGGGAGAAAAGCTGAATTGTTTTCTTATTCTATTGGATCTGACAATATCTTGTTTAAAGAAATGAGTGCTGTAAAGGAAATCACTATCTGATGAAATATACTGATAGGAAATTGTGCTTACAGAATGTAGGTTAGGGTCAGTTCCATTGCTAAAGCTCTTTCTGTCCATAGCAAATAATAATGCTGTCAACCCTAGTATTGTTTTGGAAAGCCCTTTGTTTCCAAAATTAAAAAAACCCTACAGTATTCTGCAGTAATAGTGGGTTCAGAACACTGGATCTTTTGACTGAGGTCTGTAGTATATTTTTAAAAAATGAGGCAAACAACATAGTCACCTTCATTTAATTTTTAATTTCAGATATATAAAAATAATTAGTCTCTGAGCCTTCTCCTGTGTCTGTGATTTCCCCAAGAGCACTAAAACACCCTTTGTCTGTTTCTACTAACAGGGTGGATTTGGTGAAATGAAGAATTGGTAGCACAGTATAGCGCCAGGTACTGCTTTTAGTCAGTGCAAGCTCCTCATCACACCCCTCTGCCAATGCGCCCCAGTTCTCATCTCCAGCACCCCCTGTTATTCCATTGCTGTCCCTTCCTTCCCAGTGTGCCAGCACACCTCAATCCTGACCTGACGCACCTGAACCAATACCAAACAGGGGCTCTATACAGCTGTGCCATGCTCTGTAGTGTTTTTAGAATGTAGACAAATGACTCCGTAAAGATATTTTTGCTTTCTTAAGAACACTTCAGTTCAGTTTGAAACATGCAACAACTAAAGATGAGTTGGAGGAGTTACAGCTTTTTAAAAGTAATACCTTATCTGATTCATCACCCTAATCAATTGTAGATGCTTTAAAATTGCAGTTTTGAATAGATTACAATGGGAGATTAGTGATGAAAAAAGTCAAATGCACTAACCCGCATTTATGCTACAGGATGGCTTTTAAAAAGTAATCCTGTAGTGCCATCATTTAAGCACTCCATACAGCAAATTCCCACTTAACTCCAGTGGCACTTGGTATAGTCCATTTATAGGAATGATTCCCCAATTGTTTGGAAGGAAAGTCAGAGTATGAAGTTGTCATTTCTATGTTCATTGAAGTTCTCCCCATAAATGTATGTTGGGATAGGTTAAACTAAAAGCTAGAGCCTCTGCTGGTGTAAATCACTGTAGCTCCACTGATTGAGTTGAGTTATACCTGCTGAGGATCTGACCCAAAGCATTTTTATCCGTTCAAAGAGAGAATGAAAATGCTAAGCTCTGGCCATTATTGTATTGCTAAACTTATCCCGTGGTTGACATTGGTGTAAAATACTCCAGTAGAAGTTTGGAAGTAGAGGTGCAGTAAAGTTATCCATTACCTCAAAATCTAAGTATGGTGGTTGCCATTGGAGGGCCAACATTTACCTATGTTATTTGACCTCAGGATCTGAGCTTCCAAGAAAAAAGAGAGAGAAGTAATAGCAGTTATTTTTTTCAGAAAATAACATAGTGTATTCATGTGGGTTTTGTCTTTCTGAGGGACTATATGTACACCAGCAAAACAGATATCAGAACGAAATGTATCTTAGTATCCTGATGGACTTTCCCTCTCTTTTTTATTTTATTTATTTTATTTTATGTATCTGTTTATTTATTTGCTTTCTCTTTTTTTTCTTTTTCACCCCCTCCCCACCCCCCCCCCCCCAAAACAGGAAGAGAAAATCCATTCAGGAGAGACTCTTCTTCATGTAAGTGTTATTTATGCTCATTTATGAAATTACAAAAGGATTATAAAAGTAATTAGAATGTTCAAATACTGAACGCTTACCATCTGCTCATAGAAACCACCGAATAAAGAGCATGTAAAAATAAACTGCAGTTATACAATAACAGTACTCAATACCCGCTATCTCAAATCTATATATGCAGTTCTATTGTGTATATCATGGTAGTACCTAGGCACCATTACAAAGTATTTTACAGTATTGGGGAGCACACCACTCCTGTGAAGTAGGCATGTAGTAACGTCTCACTTTATATATGGGTGGCCACGGATGCATAGAGGTTGAGGGTCTCTACCAAAGCCCATTGAACTTGATGGTAAAACTTCCATTGACTTCAGTAGGCTTTGGATCAAGCCCTAGTGACTTAGCCAAGGTCAAAGAGGGAGCCAATGTCAGAGCTCAGGAGTCCTAGCTTCCAGTCCTATGCTAAAAATAAGCTTCTCTCTCTTGGATTCTTCTATAAAATCCAAGTTGTGTCAGTAAAGTTGTTTTGGTTTATTTATTTATGTGTGTGTGGCCATTTGGAGCATACAGATATTTCAGGCCTTTTTTTACAACCCATGGACCCTCTAAAATGAGAGTAACTAACCCCAGCCATCAATGAATATGGTTGCAAATGTTTTGGGAATACATTTGCCTCCAGAATAAATGCTCAGTCTATGTCAGGCTGATGAATCTTGTACAGGACTCTCCACAGAGGATGTAAAGCTACACATCATGGAGCTCAACCGTTTTACACGTCGCCGAGCAACTTGCTTTGCTTGCAGATCTCTGATTTTAAAACTTTAAGTAGTCAAGTAAGTTCTGCTCCAGTATCTCTTTCTAGTAAGTATCAAAGGGGTAGCCGTGTTAGTCTGGATCTGTAAAAGCAGCAAAGAGTCCTGTGGCACCTTATAGACTAACAGACGTATTGGAGCATGCATCCGAAGAAGTGGGTATTCACTCACGAAAGCTCATGCTCCAATAGGTCTGTTAGTCTTATAAGGTGCCACAGGACTCTATCTAGTAAGTAAAGTCAAGAAAATGTTTCAAGAAGCAGCATCGATAGATTAAGACCATTATTGCCTTAGTGCAAAATGAGCCTCAATGAGGAAAACGACTGCATTAATTGCAATGCAGGACCCGCTTTGTATAACTTTGAAGCACGCCCTATGTCAAGTGGCGTGGCAAGCCATGAGCATTCACATCAAGCTGACTTCTCATAAATCAACATTTTTTTTTCAGAAAATAACATACGTCTCTGAATTATGGCACTAGATTAGACTCAGATAGCAACTCCTGGTTAATATGTAGCAAAACGCTGTGTGGTGACAAATGGTTTTTTTTTTGTGTGTTATTGGGCTGGAATGTTAGTTCCGCTTTCAGATAAAAGGAGCTTGTGTAATGCACCCTTGTAGACCATTATTTCCCTGGATAGTACGGTAGTTATGTAGTCAACTGTGTTCAGCTGTTTCTCTCTTACGCTACCCTTTATTGTGCATTTCGATAAGAGGAGGGCTTAGGTGTAGGCAGAGATTGTAGCCTCTTTGAACCTAGCAAGACACAACTGTGTGGTCCCATTGCTAGTCAAAAATCTATTGAAAACTCGCTCTATTCTGGCTATATTTCTGGCAGAAATGTTATAAGAATTTTATTTTGTATCTTTGAATCATGAACATTCTTTTGGCTGGTTTTATGGAAATCATTAGGGCAATCAATTGAGGATAAGCTTTTTCAAAGGAGAAGAACATGTGTATATTAAATGAAAAAAACACACCAGCAATTAAAAAGAATTGTCCTTTACACTGGGATGCTAAAATGAGACTGAGCGTATCTTTGAGAAGCTACGGTACCATTTTTTAAAAGTCAATAGGATTGGAAAAATTCCAGGAGTCATATTACTCACATTTTTCAACATGGGACCCCTAATATAGAAAATTCAAGTCTCCTGAAAAGAGTTCAAAGGACACATTTCCCCCAGTTTTTTAAAGAGGAATCACCAGGGTAACAAAAAACATCTTTAAAGGAAGAGGCTCCAAATAGGAAAAGAAACCTAAAGACATGATGATATGGTGTCCCGACGTTGTACACCAGAATCTGGAGCCCATTGGAGTGCAGAGTCAAAGATCTCCCTCTAGTGACTTTAATATCATAAAGCTGAATATCTGGATAATCTAGAGCTTTGTAACTGGAATATATTCCATAAAATGGATCAGTGATACAAAATTTATGGCCTAGAGACCACATGCAGTACAACCTTCTACCACCTGCTGTGGCATTTCAGCAGCCAAAGGCAAGCTTTGAGCACCAGAGCCTCTCTCTGCTGGTTCTGTGTATGAAATATCATGACTCAGATTTGATGTCTTTAACCTGTCTCTATATGTGCCTTAGTGCCTTGGCTCCCTTTGGCTTCTTCAACAGTATGAATTTCCAAAAGAGAGTTTACTCCAGGGATGTGAATAATCAGAATATTGTCAAGTGTTGGAATTATGAAACTTCCAGGATAGAAACCTCTCTGTGCAGTGTGAATTTTCAGAAGGGTCTAAACTTCTACGGATATGAATTCTAGATTGGGATTAACCCCATCGACTGTGAATGACCAAAATGAGGCCTCTTCGGTAATGTTAAACTTTCAGAAGCTAATAATCCCCCCAGAATGTGAACTCTCAAGAGGAAATTAAGCCCAGGGATTTCAAACTTCAGATGGTGGATCCCACTGATATATCTGAATTCTCAGAGGTGCCTCGGACACATGAAATATTTGCAGGGGCCACCTCCTGCCATGTGACATTTTGAAAAAGGACTCCTTGTGACAGTAACCAGGCATTTGTATTATAATGATAATAAAGGGACCGTCTTGTGATTGTCACTTTGCGACAGATACTACCACAATTCATTACTTTCCATCAGTGCCTCACCCTATGGAGGAATCACCACTGCCCATCCACAGTGAGGAGGGGACAGAAGTCCCAACTGGTGAGTGCAGTTGGGATGGGATATTTGTAAAGGGTGGGGGCAATGATGCTACATGGCTTTATATGCCTCGTGTGTGTGTACCCATTTGTCATTAAAAATTCTAGGACTTGTTACCAGTGCCCCCTTTTTTTATATTTTTTAAGTGTTGTGTATTTTAGCGTTCCTGAAAGGTGATATATTGGCAGTATTGGTTCTCAGCTGATCCACAGACAAGGTACAACATGAGCAGCAACCATGTTAAGATTCCACTTTACATTGTCGTACTAGTGTCTCTGAACTCAGAGCTAGAAGGTTCACCTTTATGTGTTAAAAAAAGACAAAGGTAGTTCAGAGTTCATGCCCTTTCAGCCTTTGGCCTCAATGCTGAAACTGCCCATAAGTCTGCTTATTGGGATGATGGTTTTTGCAATGAGGACATTCATTCTTCCAGAAATCCACCAAACTCATTTTACATAAGCCACAGGACAACCAACTGACCTGGGTTGGATTTTAACCAGATATATAGCAGCAGAGTGGGCCAAATCCTGTGAGCCTCATATATTATATACATCTGTGTAGGAGCACCAGCCTTTCAGATAACCAAAGTAAATAGAACATGAAAAAAAAAAAGATTGCCTAGTGTACGCCTTTGGATTTTAAGAGGGCTATTGTCTACATCTTTTCCCCTAGCTTCTTGTTTAACCTGTTCTTGAATATGACTGTACCCGGACTATCTCCTTTGGGGTTCTGTGCCATTGCTCAGGTGCAGCACTTTAAAGAACTTCTTCTTGCCTTCCATCCAGAACTTTTCCTTATTTAATTTCACTCAACTGCTCCCTGTTCTACCAGCTTTTGAGCCTGATTAATTACTTACCTTCACACCATACCTTAAAGGTATTTATAGATGGCTCATGGCCCACAGATTCTTCTCACTTTTAGACTGTATTAATTTAGTTCCTTCAATCTCTCCATCTGTCCTTGGATCACTTTTATTGCCCTTATTTGTGTTTCCTTTAATTTTTCTATATCCGTTCTAATCTGTGGAGACCAGAACTGCACACATGCTATTCCCACTATGGTTGTGCTAGGGCTGTGTTAACATGACACTGTTATCTCTTTAGCTTTCCATATGATCCTTTTATATATACAGATCCAAAAATAGCAGGGCATCTCCCCCCCAGCAGCATCACATTGAGACTCTGTATTAATTTGCGGTCTGTGATCACCCTTAGATCTTTCTCAGATTCACAGCTAGCTACCCCTCAATTAATAGCTGTGCTATTTATTTCCTCTCCCTCAATGCAGGAATTTACACTTACTAGTACTGAATATCATCTCATTGCACGCAGCCGACTTATTGCACTAGGGTTTGGTTTAAGACAGTATGGTGATGTGTTCATTTTAATGCACCTAGATTTATCCTATCTTTCAGTGTAGTTGTTATTGTTTTGTTAGCTACAGTGCAAAGAATTAATTGAGAAACATAACATTTTATGTTTTAATACCCCTCCTGCACTTGTCCTCTGTATATTACTCCAAACCCTATTTCCAGCTCGGTCATTTTTATCAGCATCCCTGCCCTTCATTTGTTTGATACTAGTTTTAAAATATTAGTAAATAATGTAGAAACTGACAAGTTTAGCATTTTTCTTTTTCTTCATGTTGTACCCTTTCTCTCTGTATAGTTAGTATATTGTCATTATATGGCTTATATGCATGGAAAGAGCCTTTCACATAGTGGAGATAATCTCTTTCTCACCCATGTTGAGCTCTGCTCACGTGAGCAACGGGGTGACATCAGTCCACTCTTATAGAACTGCTTAATCTAACTCTCTCATATACACTGGTATTTTTATCACACCTCTTCCATTGCCCTGAGGGAGGCTGGACTGCTGGGATTCTGGCATCTGCACCAAGAATGAAATATAAAGTTTGGTGAATCATGAAAAATCAAACAAACATACAAGTGTGAGTGAAAGCTTTTTATTTAATGTTTGCTCACTGCTGTCATGGAGTGCATTTCCTGGACTCTGTACTGAACTCTGGTGTAGCTGTCAGACTACCCAGCTTGATCCAGGTTCAGATCAAACCAGATCAAAGGTGATCCTTAAAAGTTTAAACGAAATGGCTGTATTATATACATAACACCTTGTAGCAGAGAGGAAACAAGTGGCCAAGGTGAATGATGGTGACAGAGATGGGTGAGAGCTGCTAAAAAGTTGGAATATGGAGTCTGAATATCCAGAGAATTGGATCTGGGATTTTAATTGGGCTCATTGTATTCTGTAGAGCTAGATGTCAGCTGGAAAAATATGATGTGTCTGGGTCCGGATTCTGATTATAGTCTCTCTTCAAAAATGTTGGTCTGAGGTTTCCATGTGGGCCATTTCCCGAAAATAGAAGGGAGTCTTGTCACAGGTTTAGGTAGGTCAGAAAGGACCAGTTAGTAATTCACACACACACACACACACACACACACACACACACACTATATAGTGATACAATTGTGAAAGTAATTGATTGCAATAACTACTTAATTAGAACAAAAAGTAATTTTGTGAAGTAATCTGATTATTTCCTGTTCTGGATGGTAATTTGAATTACATGTTAAAGTTATCTTGTCTTGCCTCTCCCAAATATGAGTAGGGATGCCAAGTCACTTTGCAATTCACATATTTGATGCAAAAGACTTGCAAATGGAGTCAGTAACACTCCCTATGCAGTAAATTTATTTTTTCAAAGAGTAAATGTAACAAGGCTGATTTTAAATAATAAGAACATAAATCCAGCTAGTTTATTACAGTTGCTACATGAAAGCAACAACTACAAATAATACACACCCATGAAATATCACAAACAATAGATTCACCAATAAAAGAACCAGCGTGTGCTCATCCTGAAACACTATGTACTCCAGTGAAATAGTGTATAGGTCCTTTGAGCTAAGGAATGGGAGATTATAACAAAATAACATTTTCATCTCCTTGTTATCCGGTGAAGACATTGGCATTTCTACTGATAGCTCAATAAGCCTTTTGATTCAGAAGGATTCTGCTTGTTCTTGATTTGTTTTTGCACTTTTATGAAATACATTCCCATGCAAAGCTAGGGGAGAAAAATGTCAACAAATGTGTTAATAAATCAAGGCTGTGGATGAAAAGGTAGAAAATAGGAAGTATTGAAAAGGAGGCTATTTTATGCGTAATAGTATAAGAGACGATAAAGAATAATAATAAAAGAATACAGGGCAAATATCTGGCAGTCTTTGTTCAGGCAAAACTCCAGTTGGTTTACATTCTTGTGATAATTAAATGATTTAGTAGACTCAAGGTGAAAAAGCGAGCAGAACAGGTCATTTATTCATTCTTGTTTATATTAAGGTCATGGCCAAAGGCCCCAATCAGCAATTGGGTCCTGTTGTGCCAGGCACTGAAAAAACACGTAAGATGACACAGTCACTGGAGGGTTTACATTTTAAAAGGCAAAACCCAGGAATGAGGTATTTGTAACTGCAGTAGTTTCATTTAAGTCACACAGTATTGAAGAACATCACTGAGGCAATAATTGTCGGCCATGGGATTGAGGAGCAATAGGGCTATAGGAAGAGGTGTTTATTCATGTGATTCCAAGTGAGAGGGTATGTCTACACTACCTGCCGGATTCCAGGAGCGCCGCCAGCTTTTGTGCCCTCTAGGCGGCGGAAGGTCCCGCCCCGAAATGCCGCCCCCCACAGAGGCGGCGGAAGGTCCCGCCGCCGAAATATTGCCGCGGTCACCGCCCCCCAAATTGTAGTGCCCTAGGCGACTGCCTAGGTCGTCTAATGGGTTGTGCCGGCGCTGCCGGATTCGTGGGCAGCGATCGATCCAGCGGGGGTCGATTTATCGCGTCTAGTGTAGACGCGATAAATGGACCCCCAAGCGCTCTCCCGTCGACTCCTGTACTCCGCCGCGAGAGGTGCAGGCAGAGTCAACAGGGGAGCGGCAGCAGTTGACTCACCGCAGTGAAGACACCGCGGTGAGTAGGTCTAAGTACGTCGACTTCAGCTACCTTATTCACGTAGCTGAAGTTGCGTAACTTAGATCGATCCCCCCCAGTGTAGACCAGGCCAAAGACTCCCTCCTACAGTCCCTATCTTCAGATAGCATTAATGTTGAGAGGAAAGCTGTCAAAATTCTATTCCAAAGAAACACACATGTAGGACTTGATTCTGAGCTCATTTACGCTGTGATAACTCCTGACTGCAGGGTTGCTACTATTGATTTACCTTTGTATAAATGAGATCAGTATCAGGCCCTTAATTTCCATAGACATGGGGCCTCGTTTTACAGTCCTTACTTAGGATCGAACCTGCTCCCCTTGAAATCAATGGGAATTTTGCAATAATGCTTAGTTGTTACTCAGGCAAGATCCCATTGGGTCATATCACTCCCCAGTGACGCACTTGTAAATCTGATAACCACTCCTGACATCAGTGGACTCCCTCCAAATTTACAATGGTGTAATTTAGGCTCCGTTTACCTGGGAAAAAATGTGGTGTTGTTTTTTTCAGTCGAGTTACCTTAACAGGATTGAAGCCAAGTAGACACACTTTAACACCCTTTCAATTATTAGCTGGTTATGTTATAAGTTTAGCCTAGGCTCTTCTAAGAACCTACGAATGGCCATACTAGGTCAGACCAATGGTCCATTTAACCCAGTATCCTGACTTCTGACAGTAGCTAGTGCCAGATGTTTCAGAGGGAATAAATAGAACAGGGCAATTTCAAGTGATCCATCTCCTGTCATCCAGTCCCAGCTTCTGGCAGTTGGAGGTTTTTAGGGACACCCAGAGCATGGGGTTGCGTCCCTGACCATCTTGGCTAATAGCCATTGATAGACCGGTCCTCCATTAACTTCTTTAATTCTTTTTTGAACCCAGTTATTGTTTTGGCCTTCACAACATCCCATGGCAACGAGTTCCACAGGTTGACTGTGCGTTGCGTGAAGAAGTACACCCTTTGTTTGTTTTAAACCCGCTGCCT